TCGACTTTCATCAAACAATGCTCTTCTTAACTTGTTTATATATTTAAATTTATTTATTCTTGGTTACCCAAAACAAACCTCACTTAGCATTCAATGCATTAAAGGAATCTTCTTCGTTATTAGCATAAACAAATAATATTTTAATAATAATAGTAAACTAGCATTAATATACTATTAAAAGATCTATGAGATTTTGAATTTCTCATTCGTGGCATTCAATCATGATGGGAAATAAATTGTTTCTGTGATTGAAGACATAAATTGAGACTGATAGTTGATCAGAACAGTTGAATCCTCTAGAACTCAAGATTTAGTTAGTATATGTATATAGAATGTTTTTATACTCTCGCAACAAAGTTGCTAAGGAGAGTATTATAGTTTTGTTCACATAACGTTTGTTTGTAAGTCCTAAAACTAAAGAAGTCAGATATAGGGTTATATATACCAAAGTGATCAGGGTGACGAGTAGAGTTGAAATCCGGATGTCTGTCTGTCCGTCCGTCCGTGCAAGCTGTAACTTGAGTACAAATTGAGATATCATGATGAAACTTGATACAAGTATTTCTTGGCTCCATAAGAAGGTTAAGTTCGAAGATGGGCAAAATCGGCCCACTGCCACACCCACAAAATGGCGAAGACCGAAAACCTATAAAATGTAATAACTAACCAAGGATTTTTTTAAAAATTGAAAATGGGTGTGGCGTCGCGCACTTATGGACCAAAAACCATATCTCAGGAACTACTCTACCGATTTCAATGAAATTCGGTATATAATATTCTTTTAACACCTTGATGACATATACGAAATATGGGTGAAATCGGTTCACAACCACGCCTTCTACCAATATAACGCTATTTTGAATTCCATCTGATGCCTTCTCTGTATAATATATACATTAGGACCCAATGATGATAGCGGAATAAAACTTTACACAAATACGGTATTTGAGCTGAGGTATCCCCTGTGGAAAAATTGTCGTGATCGGACTATGACTTTTCAAGGTCTCTGGTATCGAACACGAAGAACTCAGTGCCTAACCTAATTTTTCACCGAAAATATAGGTAAATCTCTCAGATATTTTCATGTAATTCAGAAGGCATCATTTTTATACTCTCGCAATAAAGTTTATAATAACGGTATATATCGTCAGTTATATGGTTACATATACCAAAGTGATCAGGGTGACGAGTAGAGTTGAAATCCGGGTGTCTGTCTATCCGCCCGTGCAAACTGTAACTTGAGTAAAAATTGAGATATCTTGATGCAACTTATCATGCGAGAGTATAAAATGTTAGCCCTTCCTTACTTGTTAAATTATATACCTGAAATTTTAGTTGACTTTTTAATCATGGCAATTTGAGTTAATTCGAGGAAACTGGAAGCAAGGATTTAAAATTTTGCAAATAATTATTACGTTAATCAAACTTAGTTCCTTGAAGCAGAATGATATGCTTATAAACATCTATGCTACAAATTTCCCCTTTTATAGAATTTAAGAGCTTTCCTTAAATCGACTAAAGTCTGTAATATCTTCAGTACTAACTTGTAAAGTACCCTTGCATTGAGCATGGCAACAAGTTCGGCATACTAATAGCGAAGTTTTCCTTGAATCGATTTTTATATAGGTTTTTTTTTTTTTGTTTGCGCATAGCTACACCTGGCAAATGTCAAATTCACACGGCTGCTGTGGAAAACATAAATTTATGTCTATTGTCCTAGTATTTGTTTGCGTATTGTCAGTCAACTTTCGCACAATCGCTAGGTGTGGTTGCAAATGCAAATTTTTTGCTTCATTTATCTCTTCTCAAAATAATAAAAGAGTAAATATATTTTACTAATTTGGGTGCTTAAAAGTGAAATGTGAATGGGTATGAATTGAATTAGGTCTCAATTTATGCATTAGTTTCCCCTGTGAAATGTCTTCTCCAAATTCCTGCACTTATTCTTAAGTGCATACCGTCGTACATACGTTAGGTGAATAAAGACAAAAAAAATCAAAATCTAGTGTATTTGCAAAGATCTGAAAACTATTAAATAATAAAAATTATAACATGTTTGCGCAATTAAGTTCCCGTATCCGTTGGACTACTATTTTATTGGGTATCATAGCTGAACGAAATTTCTTAGAGAAAAATTTAGATATATCTTAACTGAAAAGTAACAGCTCATGACGTATTCCTATCTTCATGAGCTTTTGATTCGATGTTCCATATTTAACTTCAACTTCAACATTAATGAACATGAGCTAAGTGACCTAGGACGGTGCTCAATGAAATTCTGTTTAATTCTTGTACAAAAAATAAAAATAATAAAGAAGTTTACTCCCATTATAACAAAAAATCATATATTTAATCCCGATTTCACAGTTCATTCATAAATTGTGCCCAAATAAAATCTTAGCTAAGCACTGTTGCAGACTGAGTAGTCGTTTTCTTATGATATATGGCAACATTATGGGCAACATATGCATGTTTTAAAAATGTCATCCATAATAATATGTTAAAAACAAGTAAGGAAGGGCTAAGTTCGGGTGTCACCGAACATTTTATACTCTCGCATGATAAAGTGATAATCGAGATTTCAGTCGTTGTTGTGAACCGATTTCACCCATATTTGGTACATGTCATCAGGGTGTTAAGAAAATATAATATACCGAATTTCATTGAAATCGGTCTACTAGTTCCCGAGATATGGTTTTTGGTCCATAAGTGGGMGACGCCACGCCCATTTTCAATTTTTAAAAAAAGCCTGGATGCAGCTTCCTTCTGACATTTCTTCCCTAAAATTTAGTGTTTCTGACGCTTCTAAAATTTTCTGTTTCTTCTTCTTTGAGATATGTACAAAAAAGTTAGTAGGGGCCAGGGCCACGCCCACTTTTCCAAAAAAATTACGTCCAAATATGCCCCTCCTTAGTGCGATCCTTTGTGCCAAATTTCATTTTAATATCTTTATTTACGGCTTAGTTATGACATTTTATAGGTTTTCGGTTTCCGCCATTTTGTGGGCGTGGCAGTGAGCCGATTTTGGCCATCTTCGAACTTAACCTTTTTATGGAGCCAAGAAATACGTGTACCAAGTTTCATCATGATATCTCAATTTTTACTCAAGTTACAGCTTGCACGGACGGACGGACAGACAGACATCCGGATTTCAACTCTACTCGTCACCCTGATCACGTTGGTATATATAACCCTATATCTGACTCTTTTAGTTTTAGGACTTACAAACAACCGTTATGTGAACAAAACTATAATACTCTCTTTAGCAACTTTGTTGCGAGAGTATAATAATTAAATTATAGCAGACAGTACATAAATATGCGAGGAAAGTTATATCAAAATGGATGAAAACATCAAAAGAACCCCGAATTTCACAATCCATACTTAAGCTGTGCTTAAGAAAATACAGTAAAATAGTGTTTTACAGTTCATACTTAAGTTATGCTTAAGTACTGAGTATGGGATGCAGTGCTTAAGTAACAGCTGTTTTGAATTTGTCAAATGTAAATGTCAAATTTGTCAATTTGTCAACAGAAGAGTAATAAGAAATAAAAAATTATTTTTTGTGAACAAACATGGAATTGGATTGCGATTTCCTCCAGTTCCAATAGGTTCTCCGACTCGCTAGCAATAAAATTCGGGGTTATTTTGTTGTTTTCATCCATTTTCGATATAACTTTCCTTGCAAATTTATGTATTATCTGTTATTTTTTAAATATTTCAAACATATTTTTATGGATGACGTTTGTAAAACATATGTATGTTGCCCATAACGTACATCATAATAAAATTGCATAGAAGTTAAGCATTGACTATGAAACGCAAACGCCTACTCAGTCTGCAACATTGCTTAGCTAAGATTTTATTTGTGCACAACCTAGGTATGGACTGTGAAACCCGGCATTAAGGTTTAAGACATTACCTGTGAGAATTAAAAATATTCGCTGTTAATCAGTCACTAGTAAGCCGAAGCCCGAACATGTATTTTTTTATACAGCGAAAGTTTAAAATTATTTATTTCCGCAAGCAATGTCAAGTTTTTCTATATGCATGCATGGTCATACATACATACATATTTATTGTACTTATATGAAGATATGTAGGCATTTGTTGTTTGATGTATAGACTTATAAAATTATAAAATATGTAATTGTTTCAAACAGCTGTTTGAGCCAGCATTGGTATAAGTTCGATGCAACATGTGTGATCAACGTAGTCTTTTCTCGCCCTCATTCAATGATAATGTATAGTGCCTGTCTTCATTCTGTGCTTGCTCAAACCCAAACATTAAACCAACTCTAACTTGTAGTCATGTTGTTACGTTTTTGACGCGTGTTTGCGGTATGTTGTTGTGGTTGTGGTCTCTCGCTCACAATCTAACTGCAATGTCGGCGATAACACCGGTAACAACCATCGGACAATACATAGCGGCCAACCTCAGCCAGCCAGAAACATAGACCACCCACTTGCTGCATACTTCGTTTTGTCGCTCTTTCTGCCGAAGTATGCCTCCTGTGCCGAAGTGAGCCTCCTATACAAAAACTAACGCGAACAGCAACATATCTCCAGTCGGCAGCTCCGTCGCAACTATCCAAATGTAATAATAATATTCGCCATTCGGGTTTGGCGTCGTAAACACATTTATTCTCATTGATGTTGCTATATTTCTGCTTTTATTGTTGTTTTGGCTTTCGTGTACATCTCGGGTTTACCAACTATTTGCTTCGTTCCATTGTTCGCCTCGACTTAACGCTGTCGCTGTTATTTTTGTACCATATGTATATGTAGATAGCAGTACGTCGCGCTGGTTGGCGGTAGCATGTGCCCACATCGTCTTCGTACCTTTAAATTGTATACCGAGGTATTCGTTTTTTTCTTACTATTGTGGTTGTTGTTAATTTTGGCCAATTTGTGTCGGCCTATACAGAAATTGTCGCACCGTATCCTGATATCCTGTTTTGAGTAGCTTCGTATTCAGTTGCGCAAAAGATTCTGTACGAATTGGACGCGAGTGTTCATTGCGTGGAACGGTTCCGACATTTTCTTGCTTAGTTCGGTAGTGCTCCGAATATCGAGTTTACATGGTATTTTGTAGAGATTACAATTAACTATTTTAAAATTAACGAAAACTTGCCCCAATAAACCATGTATTGAGAAGAACATAAAAATCAAAAAAGAAAATATGCGTTTGTAAGTGTTTTTAATTGTAAATCAAATGTTCAGAGGAGGTTCTTGGTATATTGGTTCTTCATAAAAAACAACCAAAAAATAAAACGGCTGGTAGAGGAATTAGTGACAATAAATTTGAGCTATTCAAAAAAGTTAAATTAACGAAAATTAATTTATGTTTCCTAATTTAAACCATGCAATGTCTGAGAAACACAAATAATTCAGAGGAGTAAGAACTAATATAAAAACAACGAAAAAGTAAAACGGCTGGTAGAGGAAATAGTGTCGATAAGTTTGAGCTATTCAAAAAGATTAAATTAACAAAAATTAATTTATGTTCGTTAATTTAAACCATGCAATTTTTACAAAAAACACAAATAACTGCTTAAAACTTAAAAAAAATATATATAAAATCTAATTACTTACGAGCATATTCATATGTAAATACGTGTTTATTACGTGTCACCAAACATTTCAAGGCCTTCAACACTTGGATTTAATAAATTGATTATTATTATCACTGTAGAGGGTTTTGGGAAATACTATATGCTAATGTTTGTGCAATAAATGTTGTGAGTTGAGTTAATATCGAAAGCTGTGAAAAGTACCTTATTATATATTTAATATAATTCTACGCATACTGATTTTTATCTATTTAATATAATGTATTCTTGTATGTTTATCTTACACTAAATTAAAGAATTATAAAAATATGGCATAGATTAAGGATTTAAAAAGAGGCAGACGTATGTTTTCTATGCATATTAACCAAACTGCCAAAATCTTCCTCATATGGGAAGATATATATGGGAAAGCTATATAGTAAGATTTTGGCAGTTTGGTTAATATTCATACAAAAGTGGATACTGACACGCCTCTTATGAAAATTTTTAAATCATACAACAATGTCCGTGGTTATAGGTTTTTTATTATTTTTTTTATTAAAATATTTTATAAAATAAAATAATATTGTGACACAAATATATTTACGTAAAGAGTTGCTTTTTAAAAATTATATTGGCACTGAGAGCGCGTAGTTCTAGTTTTATTCGTCGCATCGGGTTATGCTATACCTTTTTGGAAAGCTCATTTCACGCATTGATTGTCGTTTCTTTTAAGTCGTTCATGAGTTATAGCGTCGCCAACACGGAGCAAAATAAAACATATTTTACAGTACTACTACGATAAAGGCAAAAATGCATCTCAAGCCGCCAATAAAATTTGTGCAGTTTATGGACCCGGTTTCCATTTCCACCGCACAAGGATGGTTTCAACGTTTTCGTTCTGGTGTAGAGGCTTCGGAGGGCCTGTCGTCGAAAATTGCGATAGAATTGCTGAATTGGTAGTAGTAGTAGCCGTAGCATCGGTCAAGAGCTAGGCAAGAGTCATCAAAAAAAATTTTATGAACAATTGAAAATTCAATTAAAATACCGCGAGAAATACCGCAAGACTTTTTTTGACAACCTATTAATACATATATCAACATTATGATGCTGATTGTCCCGCATTGCTATCGTCCGAATTGTAGGGAAAGGAAAATCAACACTAGGTTGCGCCAGAGTCGAATTCTTATTAAATGTAATATATCGATCTGATATTGTTATTGTGATATTTATAACGGTTACTTAAAGATCTTTTTGTGAATTTTCGGATAAATATAGTATATACTTACCATTTAGATTTGTTTAAAACATATTCTGGTTTAGTTATGATAAAAAAATTGGTCTATAATCCATCTAGAATTGACAAATACTGAGCAGTTGAAATTAACTTATTAGTCTAATGTCACAACTCGATTCGAATGTTTAGCTTTCAACAATCCAACAATCTTGTATGGCTTTAATGGCATTTGCTGGTTCAATATATTGAAATAATCTACACTTTCTGCCACGAATTCGAAATTTTCAGGCGTTGCGCATATTTGGCAATATATTATAGCAGAACTTTTTGTTTCTTTTACAAATTTAAAGTAGGCATAGTGGAGTACGCTGAGTATCTGAATCGAAGCCGTAATATAAAAAAAAAAATTATTCCATAAAACAAAGACCAATGGAAACGACCCAGTATGTATCAATTTGAAATGTCCACAATGCGGGACTCTTTACTTCTCAGTCCCTCAGTCCTCAGTTCAACTCAATATTTACCGTAGGTATAAGCGCGCCTAGAGAATACGGCTTAAGATTAATGATACTTCGGATTTCGAGAAGGCTTCCAATGTACTATAATTTAATTAATTTTACTTATTGCAATTTCTACATTAAGTTGGATTAAGCCTAAACACTTCAAACAATTCCTAAATATCGTAAAACATGAAATGTTTTTCGAAGAAATTTTAATTTTTCTATTTCGGGAGCAATTAATAACTAATAGAATTCATACCAATTGAAAGTAAGATTACAAGTGGTGTATATTATTAATATTTTTAAGCTCTTATAATGAAAGAAAATCTGGAAAACTTAACAGTTAGAACTTCTGAAAGTATAAAGGCATAAACTCTTTATTCTCTTCAATTGGACTGTAATGGGCAGAGCATTTGGAAGTTATATTATACCTTACCCTGTTCGAAATTGAATTACTTTAAATTATTTAAATCAGATATCTATATAGATAACGATATAGGACTTAGCTTAAGTCATGGCAACGCTCTTTTGAAACTGTTCGAAATCAAACGAAAGCTGTTTAAGTCTTCAGATGTCCATTGCAAGAAGCTGTGAACCAACGATTGGCATTATACAGAAAATTCCAGCCAATTTGTGAGCTATATTAATGAAATTAAGTGTCTTATTATTCTTCTAATAATGTAGTTTGATATTAAAAATTAATTCATTTTTTTTCAATGCATCCACAGGCACCCAAACATATTGTCGATTTTATTTAAAACGTAACGTGTCTTGGAGTTTATCAGACACTCATATATCAGTTTAAGCGCAATATTTCTTAAGTTAAGTATTTAAAGTGGGTTGAAAAATTAGTAATATCAGTGTATATCATCCAAGAGTTCTAACATAAAAAAAATATAGTTTAGTATATATAGAAAGTATGTGGTACGAAAATATGATTATAGTCAACATTATCTAATAACACTGTGGAACATTTTTGGGATTATTGTATGGGGGCTGGGAAATTCCAAGTCAGGGTGATGGTACTAGGTCAGTATAGTAAAACCCTCAAAGGGTTTGGTGTACGTATGTGTCACTTTTTTATGACCTTTTAAATTTTTTCCTTATCTTGACTTTTTCGCTTAGGTGTAACATTTTGGCAAAAACAAAAAAAAAAAAAAAATGCCAAAATGTTACAACTAAGCGAAAAAACATTCAGATATGGAAAAAATTTAAAAGATCATAAAAAAAACTGACACATAATTATTGTTAAACTCACATGAAAATTTTTTTTAATAAAATTTTTCAGACATTCGAAAATATTTCCACCTCTTTAATTGTTCAAGACTGATGCTGTTTATAATATTCGGTTGCACACAGGTCCGGCCTGACACAACTTACCACCCTAGGCTAATGACAAATTCTTCACTGCTTCTTAGCCTATTTGGCCTTAACAACAAAGTTTCCAACTTTTAAAAATTATTCACGTATTTAACAATACTCATTTTGTTGTTTATAATACAATACTTAATGCAGTTAATAGGGTTCAATACTGCCGTCTGTCATAATTGGTTTCATATTCAATAAATGTTGTTAAATTTTGAAACTGGTTGTATAAAAATCAGCTAGAGCTTTTAAATAACGCTCTTTGTTGTCAAGGATATCATATGGAATAGGTAAATTGGCAATCTATATTTTTTTTGTCATCGTAAATCACTTAAGGAATAGTACATACATAAATATGTATGATGTAACAACATCTTCACAGTCTCTGCCTCTGCAACGTATATCGTTACACATATACATATATGCTTCTAGTTAAAATAATAAGTACAGGAGTGCAGCAGAAAAGGGCGCATCTCACGCTATATATCTAAATCAAATCCAACATTCATCGAATGTTATTGCCAAATCGAAGGCTAAAATCCAGATACTACACTTAAGAACTACTTCTCAAACTCATCGGTATTCAGTTACAACTGTAACTGTAATTCATATATAGTGTATTTAAACAAAAACCACTGTACCTTGCCAGTACCTGCGTAATTTTATTTTGTATTTTTGAAGAAAAAAATGTTCAAATGATTCTTACATGAATATTGAACACATGCTTATGTTTTGAAATATTATATAATTTTTTATTTATGAATTGTTGTGACTTTTAACATAAAACGATAGAAATTATAAAGAAGCTACGCCAAATTTTCAGCCAAATACGTTCTGCCGTTCTTGAGTTTTAAATATAAAATCGAGGGCGATTATACAAAAAAATCCGGCGTTACTACCTTTTCCAGGACTAAAAAGGAATATCTGAACAAATTTTCACGTCTTTTCGTGCTGTGGTCCGGGCGTAATTCGCGAACTTACAAAAAAGGCGTTTAATTTTTAGATATGTATGTATAAGAGGATAATACGAACGTGTTTGCCTAAACACATAACGCTACATGCAGGTGAGATTTAAATTAATTGAGTTTTAATGAATTACCTCTCCAACCAAACATGAGCTAAGAGTAAATTTTATGTACATACCATACATACACATATATATCTATACTCATATATGTATATATATATGTATATATGATTTCGTGTCAATATTTTCCCCATATCATCGATCAAATTAACAGCCTTTGCTACAAAAAGCTCTGCATATTTACGAATTTTCGCAGTTTATATTTACAAGAGTGTACATACGTACACACACAGAGATAAATAGATGAGCGCATGGACATTAGTGTGGTTCGAAATTTCATTGGTTACACATTATTGGAATTCATATCTACATATATGTATAACTGCGGATTCAGAGGGGAAAAATGGGGAAAATTCAAGGGCTAAATGGCTTATTAGTAATTTTTCTACTCTGAACAAATATAAAGTAACAGAAATCTAGAATCAATCCATTTTTGAATATAATAAATAATGCTAAGTTACCACTGAAGTTTAAAGTGTATCAACGCATGCGGACTAAATTGTTAGTAAATCCAATCAAATCAATAACTGAAAGTGCTAAATTTGAAGCGACGCGGCTTGATAGAGTACTTGAAATAGATGCTGCATTCAGCTCCATCTATGTACGTTATGTTCGATTGATACATTTTCGGCGGTTTATTCTGCAAGTTTTCTAACATATGAAAAATTAGTATAATTGGGATTTTGTGCATATCTGATATTCTATCTCTAACTCATTCACTGAGCGTGATTATTTCTGAAACGATCGCTCTGGCAGAGTCATCAAATATAATAGATACGTTGGTTGTAACGTTCCGAAATCGAAAACAAAAATGTGAGGAACATTTTCAATCCATTTATTCAGACACGAAAAAATTGGGCAAAACTGAAAGTTGACCAAGAAAAATCAAGAATATGCAGCCGACAAAGAAATCGCGAAAATGTTTGCGTGAGAACTTGCGCAGAATGCTACATGGTCTCTGTGTTGGATACATTCCTCTGTTGGATACAATCGTCGAAGATTTGAATACGCGCTTTTCTAGATAAGTATTGTATGGTTTTAACTGAGTTTGCTGCTTACAGAAAAAATATCTTGTTGAAAACCAAAGAAATTGAAAATCTTATTGACTGCTTGATGGATAGGTTCAAAGGCCTTTTGATAATGACAACATGGTGATACGTTTGAAGCTGAACGGGATCAATGGCAATGCTATTGAGGACAGAAGCAAAAGTCAAAAGACAGCAAGTTACCGAATACTGCTTTGGAAACGTTGAAGAACTGCGATGAAGACCTATACCCTAGAATTCATAGTTTTACTCACATATTCCGCACACTTCCTCTGACGAACGCGAGCTCTGAAAGCTCTTTTTTGACACTTCACCGCATGAAAAAGTTGCTGAGGATGAACATTCCTCATGATAGATGCAGAAGAAGTTCTCGAAAGATTCTCACAACTTGGCCCACATCGTTTTCTTCTGCGACTTTTATCTATTCAATAAACGAACTGACTGCAGTGTTATACATTGCAATAAAGCCGCACGTTAACGATTTAAGGGGTTTTTTTGTTTTTTTTTATTTAGCAAAATATGATATAAGAAGGACGATTTGAAAATTTTCCACCATGATATTAAACTGAATAAAGACTACTATATTTAATATAATAATTTTTTGTGGATCTCACACAATTTGTCAATCGCTCAAAAAACGTTCCATGTCGTTGAGAAAATTGTTAAAAAGAATACGTTAGTGCTGCTTCGAAACACGTCTTAGAAATCGTGAGAGGTGGTGAATCGTGGACTTACTCGTATGAGCAAGAAAGCAAACATTAATTTCAAGATGAATCAAACCCAAATAAAGTTGTTCGCGTATGAAGCATTTCCAAGCAGTTGGTTGTCTGTTTATTTGGAACGACTAGACATGTCGCAAGCATACCACTATAGACTTCCAAAAAAGTGAGTGCCAGTTTTGTTGGAAAGACTGGACATATCGCAACCATACTAATATAGGCTAAAAGTTCTTAAAAAAGAGAAAACAGCAGAAAAGTAAGTTCTATGTGAAAAACCAACTGCCCAAGACGGATCACTCTTCACAACGACAATGCGAGCTCTCACACATCGACGGAAATAACTGCATTACTGAGCACTCAAAACTGTAAAATTCTTACTTGCCACCGCATGATTTTCTTTCATTCCCATACGTAAACGACGCCTGACGAGACGGTTGATGCGTTCAAAACGCATGTTTTTGAGATACCCCAATCTGTGTACCAAAAATGTTTCGACAATCTCTTAAAAGCAGAAGTGTATAGATATTAATGCAGAATATTTAAAATAAAAACAAATTTCGAAATATATGAGACAACCCATGTAAATGATCCGTGATGAATTGATCAATGACGAGCTGAGTCGATTTAGACATGTCTCCCTTTTTATATACATATACGCTACCTAGCTGCTTAGTTTTTATACTCTCGCAATATGTTACAACATAGTGTAATAGATTTGTTCACCTAACAATTGCATGCATCACTTAAAATTAAACGAGATAGATATAGATTTATTATATATACATACATATTTAATACTACATATATATGTATAAATGAATTAGGATGATTAATAATTGATAAAGTGCCATAACTAAGCTTCACAATACGATATTATATCTATCGCTATCTATATATTATATAAGTATATATATTTTATAAGATGTGTCCATCAAGCATCGTGCGAGTGTATATAATGTTATTTGTGCATTTGTATAACGCATCATCATTTTGTCATCTTTCCATACTATGGAAGACTTACATACATATACTTAGATAATTTTTACAAAACTTTTCAATAATTATAAAATTATTTAAAATGTCTTTTGCCAGTAGAGATATAAAAACTCTTGGAGGAGCGCATACCTATGTATATTCATTTTTATTCTCTTGCAACCAGTTGCTACAGAGTATCATAAGGCGTGTTTTATTTGACCATTAAATTAATTTAATTAATTAAAATTATTTTGTATAGAAGACTTAGCCTACACATTTATGTTGGCTTGTCATAAGCTATCATAGCTTG